GTCCTGTACTAATAGAATTTTGAAGGGACTAACAGAATTTCTGGAAATAGTTAAAGTTAACATTGTGGGACTCATTGTTTTTAGCATTACAGTTGAAAAGGACTCACTGCATTTTAATGGAAAAAAATGTGAGCAAATTGAACTTTTCTTTGCCATATTATCAATAAGCTTTTTATTAATGTGTTCCATATAGTTCAATTATTTGAACAATATTTTTACAGGACCTCTAACAAGAAAAATTGAAAATCCTGAGAAACAAGTCAAATAAATATAATTAATTTCCTGTATACATTATTTAACAAACAAATAAGATTTATTGCACATGCAACTGATTAGCATCTATTCTATTGCCAAATATGCATGTCAGTCCCTCACCTAGATCATTCAAAAGGACAAATCAGATAGGGAAGATATGTCAGTCATTGCGATTTATACCCTGTAAAGTAAGGTCAGCTATAGAAAGCCTACTGTCGAAGTGTTGACAAGGAGGACAACAATACCTCCACAGGTAAACGGCCAATCTGTGTTCACACAGGTAAGACATATTAACCAGGTAGGTAAACTGTATACCTGCCATGTGTCCTCCCTGATGTAATCATCACCAATTAGCCTTATCAGCTGACTCACTGATTTATTGCCTTTTGAAGGCTGATGTTGATCTGATACTAGATATAGGGTCACACATTAACAGAGGTGACATAATATTTCAATCCAAATTTACTGTCATTGTTAAATTATGGAAATAATATTTAAATTCTGTTTCTGTCATGTAGGCTCCGAATTATAAAGGGACATTTAATGTATCAACTATAAAGCTTATTCATAATTTAGTTTACTGTAGATATAAGGACTTTTTAGCTAAGATAATTATTTTTTTGGTATAAATAAAAAATATAAAGATTTATAATAAACTTTGCTATTTGTAATTTTCAAATATCTATCATATAAAGCATTTGAATTATTACACAAACAAACCTTATAATAAAAAAAAATCTTGACGAAAAAATTAACATGCATTGAATATGAAAGTTAGGCTCAAAATGGCAAAACCAAAATAGTTATTCAAAATCCTGTTATTAATAAAATAGGCAAAAGTAAAGGACTTTACAAAAAAGTTGCATTTGGAACTATTATATTCCATTTTATATTCCTTAGTAAATCAAACAATTGTTTTATTCAATTATGCATTAGAAATAGAACAAAATGTTTGTTCATATTAGCACAAAAAAAATAACACTTTGTATTAAATATATGTGATCAGAAAACTATACATTATAGATTTTACATGTAGAAAACATATCTTTAACTGAAAAAATTCATCCACAATAATACAATGAGGAAATCTATTACACCTATTTAATTTTGAAACGTAATGTAATTATGACAACATTCATATAATATAACAATAAAACCTTTGGGTCTATGCCATTTATGGAAATGTAAGGGATGCCTTAAATATTACGAAAGGTATAGAATTTGTTACTATCACACAGTTTTTATGCTTTCAATTGCATAATACATAATAAACTCAAATGCCAAATTGATATCAACATTTCAGTAACATTCATCACATTCAGATTTCAGATTTTATTTCCAACACTCAGACACATGAAAATGTGTAACATGAGGTACATGTACATGAATTCATATATTAAATTTTGACAGGATGGACAGGTGCATGCATGTATACAAGGCAAGATTGTATTGACACTCAGACACATAATATGTGTTACATGAGGAAATAAAGTTGCAGATATGGAAAATGAAGTACAATGGACAGTTCAATTTAGAATCGGTACGGTATAGTAACATGATATGACATACAATGGAAAATACAAAACAAACATAAAAAACAACCATACATATAATTCACAAGTTATTTAACTATTAACAGTTATACATATGCATCATTCACAAAAGAGGAGCCATTTTGGTTAGGAAAATAGATAAACCTGTCAGAACTCGTTGATTGCATAATGATAAAAGACCTTTAAACTTATAAATATTTGGGTTTGTGCAATAATAACGGGGAATATATTTGTTACGTAAGGTGGATATAGTTATATTATTACATTCAAATATATAATGAAATTCATCTCCGACACTTTCCGCGCACAAATTACATAGTCGATTATCTCGGGGTATGTTATACCATCTACCTGTTTCAATTGGAAACTTCAAATTCGAGGTGCGCAGTTTTGTTATTGGTGTTCTGATATGTTCTGGCAGATTTAATAAATATTTTTCTAGACCAAATTCCGTTTTAAATAGAGTGTAGAACTGCCCACGAGATGAGCTAGTAATGTCATCGAACCATTGCTGTACAAAGTGATCGTTAAGCCGTTGTTTTAAAATGCATTTGTAAAATCCATCAGGCATATGTAATTTATTATCAAATATGTAAGAAAATCCCGTTTCATTGAAAATACCTTTTATATAGTTAATCCATTTGAACTGAAGAGTATCATCGTTTTGCATATGTAAAGCTAGTCGTAGTAATATGCTGCTGAGTTTGTTTTCATTACTAATTATTCTATTCCAAAAACCTAACATTCTTAGTTTAACATTTATTTCCAATGGCACACGACCTAGCTCGCCATAAATCATAAAATTAGGCGTTGTGGATCTCACTTTAAGAATTCTTTTACAAAATTTGAGATGAATCTGTTCGATTATTTTCAGGTTTTCGAATCCCCATACATCCGATCCATACAATAGAATCGGTTCCACTAAAGAATCAAATAGTTTTAATTGTAAATCTATAGGAAGAGAAAGGTTCCTGATTTTTTTGTAGATAGCAAATATTGACTTTTGGGCCTGGTTGATCAATCTGCGTCTTGCGTTTACAAAACTGCCATTGTAATTAAATGTTATTCCTAAGTAAGTAAAATTATCTACAATTTCTAAAATTTCATTTTGTAATACAAATACATGTTGTTGTTTACTTTTCCTCTTGCGAAAAACCATGACTTTTGTTTTATTTACATTTATATTAAGCTTCCAAATCTTACAATACTGCTGGAATACATTCAAAGCACTCTGCAGTCCCTCTGGACTTTCTGAAAATAGGACACTGTCATCAGCGTATAGGAGTACAAAAATTTCTACAAAAATATGTAGTTCATTATACAGCTTATCCCGTACATTTTCGAGTGGAACACAACTTAAAGAAGCAAAATAACTTTCAATGTCATTAAGAAATACTGAAAAAAGAAAGGGGGATAAATTTTCCCCTTGTCTAACCCCGATCAAGCAGGGGAAAAAATCTGACGTTTTCGAGTTGAATTGAACACAGGATTTAATATTATTATACATGTTATAGATAACTTTGAAACATTTCCCGTTTATATTGCTGCTATGTAATTTTTGCCACAGACCTGCTCTCCAGACGGTATCAAATGCCTTTTTAAAATCGATAAAGGTACAGTATAGCTTTTTGCCACTTGAAAGATATATAGAAATGAGAATATGCATAATAAAAACGTTGTCTATAGTTGAATGACCTTTTCTGAACCCTGCTTGACTTCGAGATATTAAATCAATTTGTTTTTCATATTCATTAAGACGGGTATTGATGATTGAAGTAAATAGTTTACCAAGACAACTAATTAAAGTGATAGCTCTATAATTATCAGGGTCTTCTGGACTTCCCTTATTTTTGTATATTGGTTTGATAATTTTATGCTTTCAATTGCATAATACATAATAAACTCAAATGCCAAATTGATATCAACATTTCAGTAACATTCATCACATGAATCATTGACCAGTCCACATCAAAGAATCACAAACACAAAGAACAATGAGAGCTTTATGTTGTACAAACAGTTCACACTGTAAAAACAATGACTGTTTGGAATGCACAGATCTGATAAGTAAACACAGGATCAAACAGAATAGTTTCTTTGTATGATAAATAAAATATGTTGACAAATGCCAGTGAAAACATGTCTTTCCGAATATCATCAATTTTTAATGCAACATGAAATTAAATAACACAGATAACAAGGCTTTAGAAGTATATAATTAATATACTGAAAAGGATTGGTTCAAACTATATATCACATATATGCAATATCCTTATTAAAAATAGTTTGTTTTTTTTAAAAAGGAAAGTTGAAAAAAAACTTATTGTTTATTTTTTATATTTTGATTAATCAAAATAAGTATTGTCAAATTTTTGGTTGTATTCAAATTTAAATCTAAATGCTGAATTAAAGTTTAATCTGTTTGTCAAAATCTTTTATCTCAAATTTTCAATGATTGACTTATCCAGCATCTCTAATTAGGGATTTAAGTTTGAACCAGGAATTTATCATAAGCTGATAACAAGTCTTGCATATCTAAATGTATGTGCATGTAATTCTATGACATGAGTGTGTAAGATATATGGCTCAGCAGTTACCCCATGCCTTGGTCTCCCTGAAGCCATGCTGCTTCCAGATTCAATACCTACATGCTAACATGTATCAGCTTTCAAAATCTGATATTTACCATTCAACATGAAGTGATGTACATTATCCAAGCCGGCCCTGCCTCATTAAAATGCAAATTAATCTAATATATCTGACCAGTCGCGCGCCGCCTAGCTAGGAGCTGTAATTTGTTTAACTGCTTAATGTCAAGTTATATATTAGGCGTATCCATGGTAATAAGGAAAATGACTTATTTGGAAATCCCAGTCTTCAGATGATTATAATTTAATATTCATTTTCGAGTGATGCAAGCAAGTCCAGCCCCTAAAAACGAGTGGGCGTGAGCTGATGTGTATGACATGTGCCATCCCCCCTGTGAATTCATTTCTACGGCCAAAACAATAGCCTCTAACGGCCCCAACACAATAACGTGTGTTGATAAACATCAGCTCAAGCAGATCGAGTGAAATTCCAAGCCATGCGACATCTCAACGTAACAGAGCTGGCTATGCAAATTAGTATATGACAAGAAATCTAGAAATGCAGTCTCTGTGCAATGACAAATCTTTAATTTAAATCACTCACCTTTAAAACAACTGGTCATAACACGGAGAGTGCTTTACTATTATCACAACGTGTTTTCCCTGCCGCCATATTGGTTTACATAGAAAGGCATGCTGGGTATGAAAAGAACAAGATGGCGAGAATAGGCGAGTGCGGCAGTCCGTGAGGTAATTTTTTTCTTTCGATTTAATCATATCTTTATGGAATGTTGTGTTTTGGTAATTTTCCCGAGTGTAAGTAACTATGGACTACCCAATGAAATTATTTCGAAGTTCGGTAAGTGTATTTAAACTTTGTTAAACAGCTGATGAAAATTGCTCTGTACTGTCCAGTATGATATGGGAATGAGAGAGCTCGGTTAAAATTTTAATTTACGATACACACGCTCACAGCCTCCCGTTCTCGGCTTGTGTAGCACTTGTGATGGTACTTACAAAAATTGGCCTGGAGTATCAGAGGCGAAGCCATATTGTTTTTATGCTGTAAACTACACGAGTTTAGGATGTTTTCCATTTTTATAAAGTTTTTGAAACTAAAAGTGTTTTCGGTCGTTCGGAGTTGCGGCCTTGTGTTATAACGAAGGATGCTGTACTATTATACTCAACGTTGTATACATACAGCTTCTACAGTTTTGTGTGTGGAATGTCGTGAATTTCGCTGGATTTCATCCAATATTTATTCTTCTAAGACTTAGTATATTGGTTTGTATTTGTGACGTGCGTGCACGCTGCAGTGTGCGTTAGACTGGACACTACCGTGGATACTCTGCGTATGGACCTTCTAATTACATAGCGTAAATTTTCGATCGTTTGTAGTGGTGTGTTTTCGTGCAGCTTTCAAAATAATGAATGATTTATCGACCGGTCACGTTAAAAATTTATGCAGCAAACCGAACAAATATAATAAATTCAAAAGTAATTAATTCAATAAGCTGGCTTTGGAGTTTGGATGGAGTCGACTTTGCTCTAATGTTAAAGGCAAAAGTGAATTTTATACAGGACACTTTACAGAGTTACACAGTAAGTGTTGCTTGACTTTATTATGTTTTAATTTCATTTTGAAGACGAACCATCTGTATCTTTTTTGTTGTTGTATACCAGGTCATTGTTTGTGGGCCTTTGTGCCGTGGGACTATTGTTCACTGTAAAGCTTGTATCAAAGGAGGGCCGACTGTTACAGTTTTTCAACACAGCTTAAACAGATTGAATATTGATTGAATTTATCAATTTTCCATGTTTTGCTCCAAAGCTATTTAACTGTGGATTTAAATCTTGACAGATGGAAATTAACATGATGTTTTTCTTTTGAAAGTGATATTGTAGTAAGTGAATCAATGGGGGATCATGTTTCAAATGAAAGTGAAAAAACACACGATTTTAAACCTTGATTTGGCATGTCTATTTTTCTTGTCTCCAATAATGATTGATACATGATTAATTAATCCATCATTGGTTTTTGTATTATTGAAGCAGTTGAACAATGTTTAAAATACCTGACCTGACAATAGCTGGTGATATTTGATTACACCTGTGTGACTTATGACCTGTCCAGGGCTAGCTTTGTGATCATGGCCAGTGATCTATCAAACCCTTCTTGTTTGGAATAATAAAACAGTGACCAGGGGCTATTATGGCCTGATACAATCATGCTTGAAATAAACCCTGTCCATATTTGGGAAATTTGATGGCCAGTGTTGAAGCATGTCATAGTTTTATGTTTAAAGATAAGAAATATATCACTTATGGTGACTATCTGTGGAGTCTTTGTCATCGGTGTGGAAGGACTGTTAGATGTTGTGTGATAGGCACTATCTCATTATAAGGTGTGGTCTGGCTTATCTCTGCTTGACACCCTTGCTAACACCCCTGGACTCTAGGGGGGATCATCCTGCACCCTATGTACCTAGGTAAGGAAAAGAATTATTTCCTTCTTACAGTCAATAATCCAACAAACGGTAAAACATTCTGTAAACACAGTGAAACTTTCCTAATCCTTTGATGTATTTTTTCAATTAAGTTGTATGGAAAGTGATTTTAATTATTCATAGGTACATACAATGGGAACTTAGTGTAGAATATTTGATAAAAAGATCAAAAACAGATGTTTGGCATGCCAGTATTTGCAATTGTCTTAAGCTACAGCAAGGCATTTTCTTTGACAAAATGTATTAAAATATGTGGACATACTGGTGTATGTGGGGGATGGGAAGCGTGGTGATTTTATGATTACCATGTGTCTAGGTATCAGTTTTCACTGAGGCTGTTACTAATTCTGTACAAAGTCATTTACATATATATACTGCTGCCTTCTCTAAACATGCCACAATGCAAATTTACATCTGTTTTACACCAATGTTAGTCAACTCCCCACTCACCTTTAAAGTTGATCTATCAATTGAAAATTGTAGGGGGTTTGGAATTCGTTACTTTACAATTATTGTAGCACTGATAGATATTGTATATGTAGTAAGGTTTTCATAAAAAAAAATTGGTGTATTTCATTTTGAATCTCAGTTTTTTGGGGTCTTGTTTTAATCATCTTTAATTCCTTTAAAATGTGAAATTTTGTTAAAACTTCAAATTCAAATTAATTGTAATTTGTATAAAACAGTTCAAGAAAAAGTCATACTAAAGTTTACATGAAACTCAAATTTTTTTATTCCTTAATTTTGTGTTCAGTTTTGTTTAAACAATTTTTTAAGGTAATATTTGTGTAAAAAAAACATAATTAATGAAAAGAGCATTTATGTAATGTCTGAAGCTATATATACAGTCAACAGATTGTAAGTCACTAATAACATTGATGCAGAACTATTAAGGATGCTCTTAGTTAATCATCTTAATGAAATTGACATGATGTTAGGTACATTATTTAGTTTTTGTGTGGTGAAATGTTTGTAATGCTGACCAGATGATAGAAGATTCTACATAGCTTGACAGATATATAGTTAGTTTTGTGGCAGGCATAAATAAATAGCATGCATGCACACACGTACCTACATGTAACTTACATGTGCATTGGCTGGCCACCAGGGTTTACAGAGGTCGCTGGGTAATCAATAGGATGAGCCAGTCTGAAGGGACCAATGTAAAATAAAATTCCACCGATAATTAAATGACTTCCAATTGTGCTATCTCATAACATTATGCAAATACAGGATTGAGTTGGTCACTCCACAGGAAGACCATTTGAAACTGTTGGCTGGCTGTAATGGAAACAGCATTTTATGATGTGCTTGCCTGAACTAATTAGGCATATGAAAGATTGCCATCAGTTCTCATTCATGGCTGAGTAATTAAGATGCAGGGTTTTCTCCACAGACACTGAGGTAAAGTAGCGTTGATTCATATATTTGTTGGATTTTTCAATGAAATCAATTTTAACAATGGCTTGTCGGAATATAAACTTGAATCAATTTTTCTTTTATCGTCTAGTTAATGATTTTCCTCCCTTTTTGATCTGGTTTTATGTCTAAAATTGGACCATTTCTGTGATAGACTTTCATACGAAAATGTCACTATCATGTTCTTGTTTAGATTGGGCAAGCCAGCATTGATCTGGTAGAAAAACACCATGACCAAAACAACTTAATGGTTAAAACATTGATCGAAGCTAAGGATTGAAAAATTGACTGAACAACCTGATTTTAGTTCAATCATTGGTATTGACATATGCTTCTTTTGTTCTATTTAAATTTCACATTGATTTAGTAATCAATATTTTTCTTGGGAAGACAATCCGAAAGATAAATAATTCTTTAAACCTCAAGCATTTTATCGGAAAGTATGTATTTGGTAATACATGTACTGTGTATGGAAATGAATAATGATTAATGATCGATAAGGGAATGTGACTTGACGATGATTAGAGATCTTCAGCAGAAAAAAACATCAAATTCCATTGACATGAATTAGCACAATTTTTCAGATGAAAAATGATCAATGGAAAAGGAATGCTCTTCTATATGAGTAACCAATGTACAAGCTTATTTTGGGGGAATGCACAGATTGCTAAATCTGTCACTATGTCAATTTTAAAATTTGTTTCGACTGACTGTAGGATTAAATTAGCTAATATCCCTTGTGTAAGTAGCTGTATGTTGGGTAGAAAAACCTAATTATACCATGTTGCTTATATTATACCATTGTGTGATACTTAAAAAAAGAAAACTAATGTGTATTGATCTGAAACACTTGCATTATTTTACGAGGGTTTGATATCAGACATAAGGCTTTTGTAGCTATTCACATCTAACAAAGGATTATGCACAAGTCAAGTGTATTAAATTGTACTGTACTTAATGATTGTGGCATTTACCCTGTCCAAACCCCAATCACTAGTACAAGTCTGTTAAAAACAGGGCTCACAAAAAAGCAAGCACTCATCAGAAAGGCAGCCCATGTCTCCCTGGGTTTAATTCCCGTTTTTTGGTGGAATGATTAATGAAACAAAAGCTGTGTTTTATGGCGAATCTAGTGACATGATACAATGTTGATGTATTCACATCAAAGAAAAAATATTTCAGATGTGTGCATGAAATAATTTTACATATATTAGACACATAATCATTTGGGTTTATGTGTTTCAGAAGACAAATTTGTGAAGATTTGGAAACTTGGTTGAAATAATGGTTTCAGTATTATTGTGGAGAGTTTGTGGCTGTGTACTGAAACTGCTAATGTGGATCATGTTGTATTGGTGACTACAAAGACATCACAGGAAATTAATTAGAACATCAAATGTAACCAAGTCCTACTGGTTTAATATACAGACAAGAACACATGGCTCTGCTACCAAAAAATTAAGTGTGTAAACAGAGTTGGCACAGCATCACAAAAAATGGAAATCAAGACAAAACTGTAAACAAGTCTAAGCTATAGGTAGCACAAGTACATTCTCCAGCAAGTTGATTCTGAAATAAAAAAATAATAATATTAAAACTAGACATATTCCTGTTTAAGTATTCAACCTTTTTGTGAAAATAATTTTTCTGTAGCTTTTTCAAAAATCAACATTAAAAATATGTTTTTCATCAAGAATTAAAAAAAATAGGAGATTCAAAAAATTGTCATTTAGTCCTGTCATCTTCATAGCTTTGACTAATTATACCTCTTTTGTTTAAAAAAACAGATGTTTCAACTTAATAACTTTTGAAAATGAGATCGGATGTTAAAAAATATTCAGCAAATATTACATTACAAAATGAAAAAATAAGAGAATAATTAAACTTAATAACTTGGAAACAAGGAAAGCAGAAATAATATTTTCATGATAATGAGGGGTTATTATTTGAAATTACATTTAAGATAAAGGCAATTTATTTCAACTAGATAATGGACATGTCTGATTGACTGGCAAGGAAATACTAGAGGAGGGGAGAGAATTGGCCATCCATCATAGCTCTCCTCTACATAGCAGATGCTTGCTGTGCCCAACACACTACAATATTATCCAAATATTATTCTCCTCTCTCAATTTGTAATTCTCTTTCATTATGTTTTCATTCGCAAAAGTTACTAATTACATGCAATTAGCCTATGGTACTGAAGGATCTTCCATTATTTATGAAATGTGAAGTATTTTATTTCAGTTTGTAATTAAAAACTGTGTACTTTAATATTTATAGTAAATTACTGCAACTTTACTGATAAGGATTTTTTAATAATATTTCTATAGTACTAGACTATAATTGAATATGTTATGTTTCTTTTTTTCCTGAAAGATAAGGTCTCTTCACACTAGTAATTTTCATGTCAGAATTAGCATTAATGTAATTTTGTCCAGCTTTTGATGAAATTTTAATAAACTGTAATGTCACCTATAACATGTATACAGTTTTGCAAATAAGTTTGCAAATTAGTTGAAAATCAATGTCTCCTCACAAAATCATACAATACAGATGTACATTTGGATTACATAGAAACCCCACCAGCATTGTTTGTCCATTGCCCTGTCACAGCAAAGGGATGAAATATTTGAAATTTTATTAAATTATCAATAACATAGTGTAAATGGCTATACACCTGTGTCATTCTCAAAATATTACTCAGATATATATATACTATCAAACTTGCCACCTTTACATGTAAAATTTCCTTCAGGGGCATATCTGCACATCAATCACTTCAACTCTCAATTTTATCCGGGAAGTAGGCAACAGATTCAAAATGTTTAATAATTATTGGCCTAGCTCTGTCCAGATCACCTGAAGCTATATGTATACAGGTAGAATACTCAAAACCTTGACTTACTAAACTTACCCAGCTTTTCTAACCCCATGTACACACATGCCTGTGGAATGTATATATACAGTACTACAAAATAAGTATTAAACAAATTCAACTGTTTCACTTTGAGCTGGTCTGATCAGGTGAATGGATTTCATTTTGGATAAAACACAAGTATTGTCCAGACTGTAAGTTATTTTATTTTTTTGTAAATAATTAATTTTATAATTTTGATATGTTCAGACCCAAAGAGAGTTTAACATGCATATTAATATAAAGTGATGAATTATTGGGGAGAACTTGCTATATCAAATTAATAGCATCACTTGGTAGAAAATTGAAATCCAAGTAGAGGGATCCATTGGCACCTGGCCAGCTTGTATTGTAGTATTTCTCTCTGTACATACCTCTAATTAGAACAGGCTCCATGGCTATATATAAAACCTTATAGACAGACCTACCATGTTAATATAACAGTTATCTAATCCGAATATTTGTGACTGAAAATGAGAGCCGAGCCAAAAATAATTGTGTTTTGCATTATTTGAGGAGTGTCCACCTGTATACCTGGTGATAGTTTGTACGGTTAGGTGTGATATTTTCCGTAACTCCCATGTCATTAAGACAAATTTATTGAAAGTCTGAGCACTCTAATGGGAATAAAGGTGATATATACCTTTGCTTCGTTTATATGATGCTGTCACGCTTTACTATTGAACAGGATCACTGCTTTATTTCAATTTATCTGGTATAGAAATTCACAATAGAATATCTGTTAGGTTTTACTCTCAAATTCAATGATTTGACCGGTGGTCAGCAGTGTCTTATTATCACATTGGTTGGGTGTTAATACCACCAAGCATATTGGATGGACAGTTGTTAATTTGAGAACCATGAAAACTGGGTAGAGACTGGTATGTAATTAACTCTAAAGTTTGATACAGCTACAATGTTAATACCGAATATTGTTAATAGAGGATTGAAGTAACGCCATTGAATTATTGATGTACTGGGTTTATGATTGGTCAAGGCAGTATGGTGTTACAGATAAATGTCAAATTCTGGACACTCCTGGTCCAGATGTCGGGCACACATTGGTCAGTTTTAAACAAATAAATGTCAAATTCTGGACACTCCCTGCCTCTATATATCAGGCATGTGTTGGTCAGTTTTAACTGAGATGGAACCTAAAACCTTATTATCTCTTGCATACTGTATAAGAATTGGTAAGTGCGTAATTTTAGACAAGGATTTCTCAGCTCTTACATATTGTATAGCACTTATTTGTTTTCAATCATTATTGGAACAGTACATTGTATATATTTATGCCTCAATAATTTATTGCTCAAATCTTTTGAATGTGAGGGTTATTTAGTTTACATTCCAACTAATAAGACTGTTTCTTAAACAATATGTATAAAGTATGTAGTTAATAGGAAATCATGTTTCTTTTCATTATGAATTAATCATTTTTCTGTCATTTTTTTATTTCAATATTTGATGGATGGCAATAAAACAATAGGTTTAATGTGTTTTTTAGGTAATGTGTACATTATTACATTAATATGCTACAGTATATATATATACATAGGTCTTTAACCTTACATATTAATTCTATTGTTTATCAGAAATATTTTTATAAACTAAAATATTTCTGAAGCAATGAATAATTACATGTATTGGTACATGTTATTTGGGTAAAAATCACTTTTCTAAAATTTCAAAATTTCAACTGTAACCTGCAATAAATTAATTTTGTTATTGAGATTACAAAGCAGATAATTTGGTAAGATTAAAAATATAAATTACTAAGTAATGAATTATTATGTGCGATGTAATATTTACAAGGTAATTAATGTGTTGTTTACTTTATATTTTGCAGGCTAACAAGAAAGGACTTGGATTCAAGCCACAGTGAACTAATGATGAAAGTTCTCAAAAACTAAAAACTTTATACTCGCCAAGGGGAACTTAATGCAGGGGTGACATATCGCCTCTGCCAACAACCAACAAAACTTAACCAGAATAACCAACCAACCAATTTAAATGTTCCTGCCAACCACTGCCGCACAAATGCTAGCCATGGAGACATTTGCCTTTGACAAAATGAAGTCAAGTCGCCGAAAACAAAGCAAACCTATACGGGTATCTTACAGCGCAGATAGTGAGGGGGGAGGAGCTGACCCAGGAGCAGCCTTCCCACCACAGAAACCCCCTGAGGTTGAGGAGGAGTTCGTCAATGGAGCAGGCAGTCCTGGGATAGACTCTGAGGGACCCATGGAGGAGGAACAAAGAGCTTTTAACTTAGAACGAAGGAGCCCTATGGAGCCCCAGATACATCCATCTGAAAGAGAACTAAATAGTCCTCTTGAAGAAAAGCAGACAATACCTGTTGCTAGGGACATAGACTCTCTAAAGGAATTCCCGTCGAAGTATCATCATCTTCAACAGATGAGTGAGGAGAAATGTCCTCCTCCAATTTTTCCTGACATGGAAGCCATGAGAGACTCATTTCCAACAAAGTACCACCAGCTTGGTAGTGAATTGTTCCAAGGAAATCAGTTTGATCCAAATGGAGAAGAAAATAGAAGCGAATTGATGGATCAAAATGTGAATTCTGAGGATCCTGCTAAATATACAGATCCTAATGAGGAAGGACGTAAATTGAACGGTTCTGGACGCATTTTCCATCAAGATGCATATTGTGAAATATGTGATCGTGAATTCTGTAACAAATACTTTCTTAAGACTCACAAGGCTAACAAACATGGTATTTTCGACCCTGCGCCTTCACCATTTTCTATGAATACATTACCACCAATTATGTCACTACCTCAGGAGCTCAGTCCTCCCCAGCCTGCTCTCCCTCCTCCTCCTCCTACGATGCCTCCATCATCCTCCTCATCTTTCAAAGTCATGGACTTCATTCAAAGTTTACCTGCCTCAGAACCTAAACCACTACAACTAGCAGAACCTGTAAAGACGCCTAAACCAGAGCTGGAGAATACTCCAGTGTCTAATGGAAACAGTAATGCTGGCAGTAGTAGTAATAGTGGGAAAGTCGGCAAGGACATGGAAGACTTTTGTGAACTCTGTCAGAAACATTTCTGCAACAAGTACTACCTCAAAAAGCACAAGCAGGATGTGCATGGAATAGCTCCACCGGAAGGATCCTCTACTGCAAAGCGTGGTGGCGGAGGTGGTCGATCTAAAGACTTGCAAGCACAACTTGATGCAATCACCTCATCAGCCGTGGCCTCTGCTACTTCTATAGCCCCACCAATGATACCTCATTCAATGGCCAACATGGCAGGTTTGCCCAACATGGCAGGTTTGCCCAACATGGCAGGTTTGCCCAACATGCCTGGTGTCATGGTTTTGAATCCGTTCATGGCCCCCATGTTGATACCTGCTGGATCACTGATGCCACCACACAGCCAGCTTTCAACACCACCAGGAATGTCACAACCTCTTCCCATGCCTGCAAGTAGCCCAGAGTCTTCTGCGACCACTACAACTTCAGCCAGTTTACCGAGCACACCAAGCGATCCAATGCGTGGAATTTCTGGTGGAATGGGAGTTCTTAATGCAGAAGCTTACTGTGAATTGTGTAGAAAAGAATTTTGTAACAAATACTTTCTCAAAGTACACAAAGCCAACAAGCATGGAATGTATTTGGATGAGTTTCCTCTAGGTGTGCCTGTCGGCCCTGTTGGACTTCCAGGAACACCATTCATACCTGCTTCTTCAATTGATTCAACCGCAATTACCTCAGAAACCCCTGTATCTTACTCTAATTCAGAGCTTAACAAAATGTATGTAAAACCAGAATCCAGTCCCAAACCTGGCACCTCTCTAGTCACTAGCTCTGCTAGCCAAGATAATTATGTGACCTATTGCAACTTATGCAACCAAGAATTTGCGAGCAAATACACCTACCGTATTCATAGGATCCAGGTTCATGGAATGCTTCATGAAGGATTAGAGGGATCTCTTACAGAAGAATTCATGAGAAGTGTGAATTCTATGCGAGAGAAAGAGGAAGCAATGGCCAAGATTTCTCCAGGATCAAGGATGGTTGAGGAACCTCACACAGAGAACAAAGTTCCAGAAAATGGCATGACAACCATGTTTGGTAATATGGTTGCAGCAAAGCTTGCTGATCGTGTTACCTGTGATATCTGTAATAAGGAGTTGTGCAATAAATACTTCCTTAAGGTACACAAGTATAAAGTTCATGGAGTCGGGACTCCCAGCGTGGAAAGGCAAGAAAAACTAACTAAAAGAATGTTTGTTGGAGACTTTGAGACAATCAAAAATGGAAAGCCAATAGCACCAAAGATGAGATCTGAAAGACCTCATCACGCAAACCCAGTCAAGTCTGAACCAAAGGACTTTTCCCTACACAGCCCACAGCTGCCATCCTCCCTGCCACTTCCAGTTCTTCCCAAGGCCAGTGAGGTTCCCACAGACCTCTCGCCTAGTGCAATCCTAGAAAAACCTTCCCATGATGAGCTAGTCAAGATGGGCATTGACCCTGAGGCTTATTGTGAAATCTGCAAAAAGGAGTTTTGTAGTAAGTACTTTTTGAGGACTCATCGCCTCAACATACATGGAATTCGAAATGAAAAGTCAGAATCTCCAGAGATGGAAAAGTTTTCTCTTGCCAACTTTATGAAGAACAACAATATCATAAACAACAACAATAACTCTCACAACATCAACAATAATATCAGCATGAACCACAGTATGAACAACAGCATGAACAACAATATGAACCACAGTATGAACCACAGTATGAACATGAACAACAGCATGAACAACAGCGTGAACAATAGTATGAACAACAGTATGAGTAATATAATGAGCAACATCATGAACAGCAGCATGAACCAGATGATGAATAACAACAACACAAACAATCCAAATACCAGCAGCAACAACAAGCCATTAAACTTAAGTATGAGTGGCAACCAAAAAGGCAAGAGTGGTTTTGAAAAGCACACCTGGAGATGGAAGGAGCCTGTCAATTCCTCACGTGTTAGTTGTGATATTTGCAATAAGGAAGTTTGCAACAAATATTTTCTTCGTACTCACAAACTAAACAAGCATGGTATCTTGCCTAGTGAAAGTTCATTGTCACCAAGTTTGAACAATTCCCCAACTACCTCAGATGTGGAAACATCAAGTAATTCATCCTTGCCTACTGATCTCAGCATTCGTGATAGGAGCAATATCAGTCCTCTTGGAGTTAGACTCGACAGCAACATGACACGCATGAATGAAGAGCGCTTAAAGCAAAAAATGCATGATGTACCATCAAGACATTTCATGAAGAATATGGAGGATGAAGCCATGGCAAGTCGCTACTTCAATCACTACAGTGAGGTATGCTATCTGTGTGATCGTCGGTTCAAAAGCAGCAAGTGGTTGAAAGCTCACATAATGAAGGACCATGCTGGCATGATCCCAGGAATGCCAATGGGTGCCAGAAAAAAATTGATGATGGGCTTCGATATGGGTATGGAGCAGAGGACATGCCGCCTTTGTGATGCTGTCTTTCCAAGTGAGCTCTCCATGCATCTTCACATGATCCAGGAGCACAATGCCCAAGTCAGTCTGAACACATCACAGCAGTCGCCATCACCACCTGCGACACCATTCGAGGATGCCCCTATGCCTCTCCCAAAGAGGTACCCGACCAGTCCAAAGTTTTCGATGAAGCATAGCTTTAGCGCCAAAATCAAGCAAAGACTATACACATGCTCTGTTTGTGATTACAAGAGCAAATGGTTAAATAATGTCTGTTCCCATGAAGTGAAAGTACATCATATTATAAACAAAGAAAACATGCAGGTCAGACAGGGCAGCCACGGACTCGTTGTTCGTAAAACAGTCGGAAATATCAAAACATACAGATGCATAACTTGCAAGCGAAGCTTCCCATCTCCAATTCTCTGTCATCACCACATCAGGGAGGAACACATTCGTAAGAGGACATTTAAAGTGAACAACAGAAAGTCGGCCATGCGACACTCTTGCAATTTGTGTAACTTTACAACTGGCTTCTCGAAACAGCTTAAACATCATCTGGCCCGTGTCCATACCAAAAGGCATGTCATGTCGTCAATGATCCGCAACAACGGCTTGAGCATGGACGATGACGATTCAGGGAATATTGTAAGCCAGCAAGGTAATCTCCATGTCCAAGCTGTTGAGGACCTCCAGGAAGATATGTCTAGCGATGATCAGCAGTCATTCCATCTGGAGGACTGCTCCTCTCAGAGTGACTTTCTCACCTCTGTGGTGAAAATTCCAGTGAAGAGACGGTTGAGTGCCCCGGTGACCGTTACCTTTCTCCTCACCCCTATGGAGCAGTGAGTAGGGGGAGCAATGGGAACTGGTCATGTGTTCAGGTATTCGCAGTGTATCTCTCATTGGTAATTTCAAACTCTTGATTATTTATTACAATTATTTTAACAGAACTGTGTGTTTATGAAAATGGTTATGTGCAATCAGTTGACGGGGATACTCTGTTCTAGTTGTGTGTTTTCCTGTGTTCCATACCGTGTGTTGTAGTGGCGGTCAGCAGGTCGTCCACTTACTTATATCTTTCTGTTTGTTTCAAGGCAGCAGCTAATTTTCAGGAAATTATGTAGAAGCTATCTAATTCTGCCTGCCCAGAATCTCAGTATTAGAATTGGTTCGATTTTTACTCTCCAATATTTAATTTATTGCTATGGTTGGTTTTGTAGATTAGTTTCCAATTATTATTATTTTGTCAAATTTTCCTGAGTTCGAACCGATTCAGTTTTTATTATTATCAATTTCTAGCAGATAAAATGAAAATCTTGCCCTTTATATATAATATATAACTTTTTTTGTAATTCAAGCACAATCTTGACCTAAACCCAACAAATTAATATATTATGATATTAAGAATTCATTGCATTTATTTAATTGATGAGTTTGAACTAATGAATAGTTAAAAGGTATATATCATTTGGCTATTAGTGACTTGTTATTTATTTATAGAGATGAGGTTTTGTTTGTTTTGGGGTGTAAACTCTTGTGATTTCTATATATATATGACAGGTTTGATGTGCTGTGTGTGTGAATGACTACATACAACAGGATTGTTTTTCTCAGATTTGACATTGTTTTTCATTTTGGTTGAAATATTTGCCTAACCATATAACTACATGTGTATATCACGGTGTGTGTGTGTGGGTTTCCTCCAAGCTTGCCATGGTCTTAATGCTGCACCGACTAGCCAGCCAATTGGTAATGGTCGTCAGTCTCACTACTATGTTTGAATGTTTTGTGAACCCTAGTGCCATTTTGAATCTCATGGTAACAGGTGATCTGTTTCCTATGTATTTGTACTTATGAGTATGTTTATACTGTTTGCCTTTACATGTACCAGCAACAATATAAATGATACTCAATACTACAATACACGATACCTTGCATTAGTAAGTAAATGTCCATGTAACCTAAAGGTATACATGCTATACCTTGTTTTTGTATTTCTCTATATACCTAGTCAATATCTTCGTTCAATAGCTTCTTCTTTTTTTTCCCTGCATAGCTTTTGTCATTAGGAAACACCCTAGAATTTTATGACCAACCAACGGAATTAGATAGCTGATCAAATCTAGCTGATTGTCGTCATGGAAACCTACAATATGATTGAATTATTTTGGAAAAGCTTTCATGGGAATTTTTTCTGTGCTAAATAGAAAATCAAGGCAGAAAAATATTGGATTTTCAGTTAATATTGACCTCTTTTTTTAAGTTAAACCATGATTATCAAGATTCTCAATTTTAATATACAAATTTAAGTTTGATGTATAACTAATGTGCAATTTCTATATGTTGGTGTTCTTTCCTGATGTATTGTATATAAAAATTGTAGTATATTTTTCCTTACGAGTATAGTGTTTAGCTACAGATAGGTAACCCCTAAAGTATGGCTGTGATGTGATGATGACCATCTGCTATTGCAAGTTACAGACTTGAGCTTGACATGTAACAAGAATGTATCTATATGGAGCACTGCCTTATTATATAATACGGGTCATTTTCTATTAATTCAAATCTCAAACTGGGCTTGCAATGTCAGAGTCTTTGAAACCATGCAATATTCACTTTTTGTGCAATTATTATATATATGATTAACAATTTTGTTGCTGTAAAAATACTTATGGATACTATTTATGTATGGATTGCTAGAAGATTGGTTTCTTTGGGATTTATCTTGGTGATTTTTGTCGTCGAGGTAATGCCCTTGAAATGCCCTTGGTCGTGACTGAAAGGTTACCATGAGATTCAGAATTGTCTTTTTGACCAGCTTGGTACTCACAACTAACTGACAGCATTGTGTCTGTGTAAACACAATCACAAATTGTAAAAATAGCAACAAATTGTATGATGACACTTTTTTCCATGTGTGTGTTTTGATTGGTTGTTTGAACCCCTTCCCTTTTTCTCCTCATTCCTAGAGAGTTCCATGGCCAACAGGTTATATCTGTTGGCCACGCATGCGGATGATGTGATTAACTCTATTTTTGATATGCCAATTTGTGAGGCTCTTGTTTTTCCTGGCTTAACTTATATAATCCTGTTTGAATATTATGAAAATTGGACAGTTACTGCCTGTATATGTGAATATATTGTACTATAGCTATTATATATATGATTATATATATATGATCTACCAGGTGTGGTGGCATAGGACAGTTTATATCTGAGTTTGTTTTTTTCTTTCTCTCATCGCATAAGGAAGGGATTTTTCTTCTCCTGTTAGATATATTGATATGATAATGAAACAATGGCAGACTAGGAGCTTCTGTGTTCACTGTAGAGTTTTTATTGATTTTGAGAGTGTGTATGTGTATATTTCTCTACATATAAATATTTATTGTGTGATTTCATAGTTTTAGACGTATGCATGTATGTAAATAGATATATATATATATGAGTGCAATATGTGGGTATGTGCATGAGAGTGTGACGTCATTTTGATATTATTGGGAATTGGTGCAATGTTCACACTTGTGGTGCAGTTAGCTTACCTCTCTACCATACTGTTATTACTTACTAAACATAACCATTTCATCAGGGTTTTTTAAGTCATGGTGGGTAAGAAACCAGTAACTTCAAAAGATTTTAGGTTAGAAACATTTAAGATAATCATAAACAATGGGGTGTTTTTTCAAGAGTTAAATCTTGAAACCATTTAAAAGACTATCAACAAAACCATGTATGTTATTTATTGTCTAGGTATTAAGTTCATGTCCTAATCTTATCATGTAGATTTATATGGAGAGAAAGGATGACCGACAAGTTAAAGCTTGCAAAGAACACTTGATTATTATTTATTTTTTGTCTAACAAGCCAGTTTATGTATCTGTGAACATATAAGCTTCTGCTCTGCCATTTAATGATGCAAGTATATATATAATTCTAGTCTTTCCTGGCCACTGATGGTCAGCTTACCAAAGTAACCAAAACTAGACAAACGGACCTCATCCAACACAATTTCCATCTGTATTATATTAATATATACTATAATAGTCTAGTTAATTAGTAAAATATCCGTCTATATATCACAAAGTGACTCCTAAATGTTAATATTTGTCTTTTTTTTTTATTTGTAACTTAATACTGTCATAACCACGATTATTTTTGTTCAGTTAAGGTTATTTTTGAGATAATGGAAAAATTATTAATGTATAGTAGAACAGGAAAAAAGAAAGAGAGAATAATTTCACAGTGTGTTGACCAAACTTGTTAAAGCAGATTGCTGTTTGGTTGAACACGTACGTGGTATATGACTGCCTACTACCCACACTACCGGGTGATGTTAAAAAAAAGCTAGTCATAGTGTTTATATATGTGTGACCGGTCGGGCCAGGCAGGGCGGGGCCGGTCACTTCTGATGCCCTAGGGGGACAGGGAGTGCCATCCTTTTACCACTACCTCACTTTATATAGTCAAATATTTATTCTGTGTATTCAGAAGAAACGTAATTATATTTTGGTCTTTACACAAACAGTATTTAATATGTGTCGATGATAACTCTAATAACTGTTGTAGATGTTAGTGTATTTATTGGTGTCCAATCGTAGAGACGTCTGTGGTGTATGGCAGGGTGCTGTCCAGGGTCATGTCCAGTTGTAGAGATTTTTATTGTGGTGTACGACAGGGCGCTGTCGGGCGTCAGCCCTGTTGCCTTAGGTGTAAATGGGAATATAGGCAGAACACTATGGTTACATTCCAGTACTCTGGGAAATAGTCCTAGCATAGTCTTAGTTAATACTGTTTAGACAGCCGGAAAAGGGGGCTTCATTCACTTTGTATTTCACTCTGTAATTTTCTGAATGATTGTCAGACAAAGTTGGCGGTGGCCAGCACCTGGTCGTACACAATAACTAATGTATGTTTGGTATTGTAGTCGTATATGTTTGTGACAAGTTTATTACGAAAAACAAAAAACCAGTGTAAGATGTTGTTTTACTATGGTTGAACCCTCAACCCAGGGCATCACAGTCTTTTTGTAATTTTATTGAGCAAAGCATAATTTATTATCATCATTGCACTATATGTAAAAAAAATATAATAAAAAAATACATATATAGTACTACAACTAAGGCTGAGAAAAAAAAGTTACATGAGAAGGGAAAAATATACAAACCATTAATCTGTATTGGACAAATTCAGGGAGTTTTATCAAAGTTAAATGTATAGACACAGTAGCGATTAGACTGTATTCCTGTTTGTCCTTGTGGTAGTCAGAACAACAAACTTCTTGAGATGGTTATAAAGCGTGTTGTCTATAAGTGACAATCGGTGTTAATAGCATAATGGTTATCAGTCTTTGTTTCTTTGAGTTTTTGACAGATTTTTGTTGCGAGTTCTTGCATAAATTTTTAAACTAATTTATTGTACACGCCAACAAGAGTCTTGTGCACTCGCCCCATAATTCCACCACATGTGGTCTCGTATTACGTCTTATTTATTGACCCCGAAGCACGGGTGTCTAATGTTGATTTTTCTAATGGCATGTGTGTTCTTTTGTCAGCTATGTTGATATTCTGTTTTTCTGTATAGTGGAGTGATTTTCCCTCTTCTACACTGTCATTAGATTTTTTTTGCAATAAAAATTCAAAGGTTGTCCTTAATTACGGAATTTGTCTTGTTTTTACGACATAGTTTTCTTCTTTATACTGTAAATACAACATAGTTCTCTTCTTTATACTGTAAATACGACATAGTTCTCTTCTTTATACTGTACATTTATTTCAGCCCTGGCTCTAAAAGTCGAGATAAATTCTCAATTTGTTGGTACATTTAAAGGTTTGGAAACATTTTTCAAGTTCTTTTTAAACTTAACATACTAAACTTACATACTAAATTGCTCATTGAAAACAAGGAAAGTTGCTCATTGTTCAAAATTCTTTTGCATTAAATAACAATTTTCACTGTTCAACAAAACATTAATAACATTATTCAAATCAAAATAACTTAATAAAATGTCCATAAAATATGATAATATAATTCAAAGAAACATGAGAAATTACACACTGGATTTATAATTGAATGACATAAATTTTCTGTTGGAACAAAAAAGATCACCATAGATCATTGAAATATGAGTGACATCAACTCAAATGTTTATTGAAACATAATAAACCTACACTCAATGTTCATTGAAACATTATAAACCTAGACTCCATGTTTATTGAAACATTATAAACCTAGACTCAATGTTTATTGAAACATAATAAACCTAGACTCGATGTTTATTGAAACATTATAAACCTAGACTCAATGTTTATTGAAACATAATAAACCTAGACTCGATGTTTATTGAAACATTATAAACCTAGACTCAATGTTTATTGAAACATGAAAGACATTAACTTCAATGTTTATTTAAACATGAGTTACATGCATTGACTCAATGTTAATTGAAACATGAGTGACATCGACTTAAATGTTTATTGAAACATGAGTTACATGCATTGACTCAATGTTTATTGAAACATGAGTGACATTGACTGAAATGTTTATTGAAACATGAGTTACATGCATTGACTCAATGTTTATTGAAATATAAATGACATCAGTCATTGGTTTGGACATATGTCATTTGCCATTGTTTATTAGAAACATTTTTATTTTTACAAATGACATTTCTTGGTGTCCATTGAAATAGGAGTGACATCTCCCATTGTTCATTAAAATGTGGGTTAATTTCTCCCTGTTCACTGAAACAGTAACATAACTTTTTTTTGTACAGATGAGAAATGTTGACAGTTGTTTACTGAAATGTGGATTGAAGCGTGAAAAGCATTGGGAATTATGTATTGTAACCAAAGTTATATTACCAACTTTTAATTAAAACATTATTTATATTTCCAACTACAAGGAAGATAACAAAGAAAGATTGTAGTGTTTATTGAATTATCATAAGAGATGTCAACCGATATAACCTGGATCCTGATGCCCCCAATGGTTTATTGGAATGGAACAAGTTACATAATAGAATCTTCAAAGGTGCACTATTGTTGCTGTATACTAGGTGTGGAAGGGAGTCGGGACATGTATTATTTAGACCAGAGCAATAAATGAGGGCTGAAACATTTTATTACCCAATCAGTCAATTGGTTTTATTATAGTTTTATACATACATATTACAGAGGCAGTAGGCTTTAACTTCCCAGGAAAACTTCAGGCAAAATATGTTTCTTTTCATCCCTGGTAATTAGAAATAAATATTCGGATATTTTTTTTTATAGTAAAACGTTATATTCTAATTAACATTGGATAGCTCTTTCAGAAAACAGCATATCTAAGCTTTATTACAAACCTTACCTAAATAACAATTCTCGAAGTTTGAAGCATCCTAGAATCCTGGGAATGTTTTACTTTTGGATAATAGAGTAATGGTGATTTGATAAAATATAACATCAAGTTGAATAACCAGATATCAGATTGTTTAAACAATTTTAGAGTGCATCGGGTAAATATGAAGTACTTGGATGGCTAAACAACAAATATAAGTGGAATTTTATAAATAAACTGACGTGATTTATGATGCAGAAACTACATATGAGCAGAGACATATAAAGCTATAGTAGTATATACATCTCCGATATGAGTCGGCATGTCACCTATAGACTGATGGGTACTGAGATGTAGATCACCTAGAGACTGATGGGTACTGAGATGTAGATCACCTATAGACTGATGGGTACTGAGATGTAGATCACCTAGAGACTGATGGGTACTGAGATGTAGATCACCTAGAGACTGATGGGTACTGAGATGTAGATCACCTAGAGACTGATGGGTACTGAGATGTAGATCACCTAGAGACTGATGGGTACTGAGATGTAGATCACCTAGAGACTGATGGGTACTGAGATGTAGATCACCTAGAGACTGATGGGTACTGAGATGTAGATCACCTAGAGACTGATGGGTACTGAGATGTAGATCACCTAGAGACTGATGGGTACTGAGATGTAGATCACCTAGAGACTGATGGGTACTGAGATGTAGATCACCTAGAGACTGATGGGTACTGAGATGTAGATCACCTAGAGACTGATGGGTACTGAGATGTAGATCACCTAGAGACTGATGGGTACTGAGATGTAGATCACCTAGAGACTGATGGGTACTGAGATGTAGATCACCTAGAGACTGATGGGTACTGAGATGTAGATCACCTAGAGACTGATGGGTACTGAGATGTAGATCACCTAGAGACTGATGGGTACTGAGATGTAGATCACCTAGAGACTGATGGGTACTGAGATGTAGATCACCTAGAGACTGATGGGTACTGAGATGTAGATCACCTAGAGACTGATGGGTACTGAGATGTAGATCACCTAGAGACTGATGGGTACTGAGATGTAGATCACCTAGAGACTGATGGGTACTGAGATGTAGATCACCTAGAGACTGATGGGTACTGAGATGTAGATCACCTAGAGACTGATGGGTACTGAGATGTAGATCACCTAGAGACTGATGGGTACTGAGATGTAGATCACCTAGAGACTGATGGGTACTGAGATGTAGATCACCTAGAGACTGATGGGTACTGAGATGTAGATCACCTAGAGACTGATGGGTACTGAGATGTAGATCACCTAGAGACTGATGGGTACTGAGATGTAGATCACCTAGAGACTGATGGGTACTGAGATGTAGATCACCTAGAGACTGATGGGTACTGAGATGTAGATCACCTAGAGACTGATGGGTACTGAGATGTAGATCACCTAGAGACTGATGGGTACTGAGATGTAGATCACCTAGAGACTGATGGGTACTGAGATGTAGATCACCTAGAGACTGATGGGTACTGAGATGTAGATCACCTAGAGACTGATGGGTACTGAGATGTAGATCACCTAGAGACTGATGGGTACTGAGATGTAGATCACCTAGAGACTGATGGGTACTGAGATGTAGATCACCTAGAGACTGATGGGTACTGAGATGTAGATCACCTAGAGACTGATGGGTACTGAGATGTAGATCACCTAGAGACTGATGGGTACTGAGATGTAGATCACCTAGAGACTGATGGGTACTGAGATGTAGATCACCTAGAGACTGATGGGTACTGAGATGTAGATCACCTAGAGACTGATGGGTACTGAGATGTAGATCACCTAGAGACTGATGGGTACTGAGATGTAGATCACCTAGAGACTGATGGGTACTGAGATGTAGATCACCTAGAGACTGATGGGTACTGAGATGTAGATCACCTAGAGACTGATGGGTACTGAGATGTAGATCACCTAGAGACTGATGGGTACTGAGATGTAGATCACCTATAGACTGATGGGTACTGAGATGTAGATCACCTAGAGACTGATGGGTACTGAGATGTAGATCACCTAGAGACTGATGGGTACTGAGATGTAGATCACCTATAGACTGAAGGATACTGAGATGTAGATCACCTATAGACAGATGGGTACTGAGATGTAGATCACCTAGAGACTGATGGGTACTGAGATGTAAATCACCTATAGACTGAAGGATACTGAGATGTAAATCACCTATAGACTGAAGGATACCGAAATGTAGATCACCTATAGACAGATGGGTACTGAGATGTAGATCACCTATAGACTGAAGTATACTGAGATGTAGGAGATGTAGATCACCTAGAGACTGATGGGTACTGAGATGTAGATCACCTATAGACTGATGGATACTGAGATGTAAATCACCTATAGACTGAAGTATACTGAGATGTAGATCACCTATAGACAGATGGGTACTGAGATGTAGATCACCTATTGACAGATGGGTACTGAGATGTAGAAAGCAAACATGAGTCAGGGTGTCACCTAGAGACTGAAGGGTACCCAGATGTAGATCACCTAGAGACTGATGGGTACTGAGATGTAGATCACCCAGAGACTGATGGGTACTGAGATGTAAATCACCTATAGACTGAAGGATACTGAGATGTAGATCACCTATAGACAGATGGGTACTGAGATGTAGAAAGCAAACATGAGTCAGGGTGTCACCTAGAGACTGAAGGGTACTGAGATGTAGAAACCAAACATGAGTCAGGATGTCACCTAGAGACGATGTAGAAACCAAACATGAGTCAAGATTTCACCTACTGACTGACGGTTACTGAGATGTAGAAACCAAACATGAGTCAGGGTGTCACCTAGAGACTGAAGGGTACTGAGATGTAGAAACCAAACATGAGTCAGGATGTCACCTAGAGACTGACGGTTACTGAGATGTAGAAACCAAACATGAGTCAGGACGATAAAGAAACCACGCCTGAGTTAGAATATCACCTATATAGTGACCAGGGTTTTGATGACGCTCATTGTACGTCTGCAGCCTACCATATATGATCCAAACGTTTATGGTGATAAGCTACCCTCTGTAGGAGACACTGTCGGGAAGATGTCATTACTAAATGTTACGTTTATCGCATTCTCTTAAGGCTTTACCATCAACCACTTCGAGCCTTTTTAATGATTATCTAGGGCGTAATTTTTTTTAAAGATTTTTTTACATTATTAGAACATGTTTATATTTATATACGGTAATTTCTCCTGATATTGCCACCAATTGTTCAGCCAAATATGGCGATGTAAATAACTTTGGTGATATATTGAGGGAGGCATGCAAGTGAATCGTTCACAAATAAAGGAAAATGGGAAATTGAAACAAAATCAGTAAAGAAGATGGCCAATGTTACGACTGTCGAGTGGCATTATATCGAGGTTTTACTGTATATGTATATACATTTAAATGACCACAGGTAATTCATATCGGACTAACAAGTTACGAAAGAAGAAAATTTATGACGTTTCCTGAATTGGCCTCAAACTAGCCGAGAAATACCAGCTATACATGATCACCACACCGTCACCCCCATCAATGGGTTAGTGCTTTAGTAGTGACCGGCCCGGTACCCTGGACATGGTCATTAAGTGACAAATCGTTATTGATGATGTGACTGCATAGATTGAAGTGTATACATATACACAGGGATCATACGAATTGCGCTAACAGTATTTATCAGAAACAGAACAACTTGACAGCTAGTTCATATCTTCAACTTTCGGATCAACATTCATTAACTTGATACGAAACATATAAACACAATTTATTGAGGAATGCGATTGATTTTCGAAAAAAAGAAATACCGCTGCCCGACTTAAACTTAATTGTAACCCGACTGAATTTGCAATGGTTGTCTGCTAAAGCGCAACGCAAGTTTAGATTTAGATAGCTCCTTTCGCTGTTATGCACATCTTTATAGCCCTTATAAGAAAAAAAACTGTATTGAGAAATGGTTATGAAATATTCTGATGATGTTCTTGAATTTATATAAATATATATCTGAACTTCATTTATTTTACAACAATTATGAAACAATTCATTTCAACTTATATTACTCGCTTGAATTTATAACTATTTGTATAATTGATGGAGAATTCTTCACATTACTGCTACACATTTTAATTCTGCTATCGTTATCCACTGTTACTAGCCTATACCTCCATCACGATCTGGGTGTCCTAGCTTTAATTGGGGTTTTTAATTATTTTATACAATTATTATGTATTTGCACTGTTTCTGAATTATGGAAATTAAAGGTAGGTTTTATAAGAACTTTAATATGAGGAGGGGGTATGTTTTCCTTGTCAGTGATAGTGCCTACCGCGCATAGATCACTAATGTCCAAGTTTCTGGCAGATTTACAGCACTTTATGAAAGATGAAAATATTTTAATAATTCAAAACTATCTCGCATTAACACGAAATATAACTTAATCTTGACATGTATATGTATCAGTTTCATATTTTAATTAATTCAATAAATTTTAGGATGACAGGTGAATTAAAAACTTGACATTGATGTACAAGTGACACTATGCTGAGATATTTGGAAGTTTAGAGAAATAGTTGCCAAGGGCTTTCTCTTATACTGTTGACTGTCATCAGAAAATAAATTGAAATTTGAGCGGGAGTTGAAGTGAAGATTTAGTAGTGACTGGACGAATGGACATAGGATGACCCGGGGAGACTTCACATACAGAGGTCATAACTCATCTGGTCAAATTTGAAGGTTTCCTGCGGACACGTAGGCTTGATTGGCTGGATGTCTAGTTTAACCATGTTGGGCTCTCATTAAAAGTAGCCCGGACATAGTGGTGAGGTAATTTTTCTTTTTTTAGGCCCCTCAGGCTGATCTAGGGCTAGGACAACGTGATGAAGTGGATGACACATTTTACTATAGAGTAAGACTTGTCAAAACTATGGACGATTTCCCTACCCATCCCAAGTTCGTATGTCCATCACATTATACGGACAAACACAAACCGGAAAATCTTCTTTTGTGAGACCTTTTTCTGACCTTTTTCTGACCTTTGACAAAAACAAAAATCTACGCAGGCAATTCATCAAATCTTGACCAATTTGAAAAAAACCACTCATCCTAAAACAATTAATATCAATTAAAGTAAGTTGTCATTTGATTGTTATTTCATACAGGAAAGAAAGACAAATATCATCAACAAAGCTTAGCATTAATCAACAGGCATGCTTATGTATTTAAATATTCGACTTATTGGGAAATAAATACTCATTTCATCAATATATATATAAGTTATTGTTTTGCTTGAATATATATTTTTTGTTTATCTTAAAACGACACTTTTGTTTTAAAACAGAAGAAAATTTGTTTTGATTTTTAAATTTATAAATAACGTATCCAGTGATTTCTTTTTTTTCATTTGCTTTTTTTCGATAAAATATTGTGTTAAATGCAGCGTGTTTTAGAGTCTCGCCTTCCACCGGGAGCATCGTGTAAAGGATGTAATTAGTGTTTGTATATTAATTTATTTACTTATTTATGTTATTTATATGTGTTATTTATTTATACAGACCAGGTGTTTAAACAGTGACCCCGCCCCCTCGGAGGGCCACCGCCCTTTGTCCTAACGAGCCCATTGTCTGTAGAACCCTGACCACTAACTTCGAGCTAAACCCAACCATCTGTTAACAGACATTTTGGTTATCACAAGTTCCATTTTCCTGAGTAGAGGAATCGATGACGTCTCTAATCAATAGTAAACTGCTTTGTTCCACAGCGCCATTACGGTCAGTTCTTAACTACGTGACTCCATGACGGTAATTAACTTCTTTTTTTCTTCACAAAATCACGTGAAATATAAAATTTGGCTGAATTATTTACCTGTTGAGCGGGCCGACCCGGTGTACAGCTATTGTTGTAATAGGTGATACCAGCTGTTAACAAAACAAGCATGTTTCAAGCTGTTTTTATTACAACAATAGGTTCAATTTTACACATTCTTTCAGCACCCAGTGTAATAATAGACCAGAGGTTACGTAACCGCTCAACCTTAAACCCATTTAGCTATTAAAATGGATTTTTATTTGAAAATTAAATCGTTGTGACTGGGTGGGTTTAAATAGCTGGCGATAACCTTCCTGAAAGGCTTACAAAGTCAGTGATATGTGGGGATCAGGGGTGAGCTAATTATCCAATATTTTACTTTAATCCCCTACCTAAGGAAAGAAAAATCAACTTTCAAATCCATGTTTTGAGGCAAATAAACGGATTAAATAAAAAGCTGTAAAGCCGATGTCGACTCAACACAACGTCGCGGGGTAAACAACTCCACGATATAATACGACGCTTTGAAGTAAACAACCCCTCTTCATAAAAAAAAATAAAAAAATAAAACGAATATAGGGCAGTGAATTTATGGGATGGTCGTTGAATTATAAACACATAAACTTTATTTCTGCCCAGATATTTCATGTGGCCTTCTGTCAGTGGCTGTGGTTTACGGTTTCCGTTTGGCATCTGTCCGTGGCCTTTGTGCTTTCAGGTATACGTTTATTTAAAAAAACACATTTTAGCGTAAATACCATAAAATGTAGTTTTTAATATTCATAAGTCCGAGTGAAATTTTTGAGGTGCCATTATTAAGGGGTCACAATCAGATCAAGGTGTAAATATCTGGAACGAATTTCAGATTGAAATGTTTGATAGACGGAAACATGTGAACCGTATCTTTTAAAGCATTTTAATTTTAGTTTGGCCCTAAGATATATACTTTCCGATCCGATTAGCATTAGAGTCAGACCGCGGCATATTTAGGGCTGGACTGTTTACCTTTCTTGATAGAAAACCTATTCTGAAGATTAAATTTAGTGAAAGTTTATTTAAAAGTTTATTTAAATTTATTTGATCCAATTGATATTTGAAAGAACTTGATTACCACACACCGAGTTTCAACCATGTGAAATATTAAACTAATTAAAAAATTCTATTAAAAACTAGCTTAAAAGGAAACGTAAACCTAGGAACGGTGCCAAAGTTAACTTGCTGACTTTGGAGTTAAGATTTTAATCCTGCGACAAAACTCCCCTCTACACTCGTACTATTAAAAGCCTTTTGTGAAGACAAAGTCGAGAACAAGAGTTCTTTGGTCTGAATATTGTAAATAAGTTTACATCAAATCTTAATTATATTTAAGTATAAAAGTCAGTCATTACGTAGATGTGGACAATATACCAAATCACCATTGTTCGAACTGTTTCAATCTGTACATTTAAAGTAAGCTTATGTTTGAAATCTAATGTGTCATAATATATCAGTCTTTTATACCATGCTAATCTTTTACCCATTTTTTTATTATTATAAGATATAATTCAAACAGTTAACTACAATATATGTTACTATTTCTGAGGATATCTATATTAGTGTATGGAATAAATTTACATTTTGATTTATTGATTTTAGCTTCAATACGTGTAACCTTTTCTAATTACATCTATTTTTGTGTATGGAATATTTTCTGTCAAAAATATAATATCGAATATTTATACTTTGATTAATTGTAAACACTACAAAATACGTCCACTAGAGCGTTGACTACGAGATTTACTCGTAAAACCAATCAGATGTGTGAAGCTCCTATTCAGATAGGTTCTTTGTGAAATCATTTATCGAGAATTATCGCTGTGTGCTTAATTTGAAATTTACATTGTCCTCAGCCGCTGGACTCACTGGTCCGGCCACCATTCCGGTAATTATGTATCTCTCCCGATCGCCTCCGTCATTGATCCAGTATTTTCACATTTCATTTATTTATTATTTATTTGCAGAAATATCGAGCCGGAGCAGATCAATACGTGTAAGAAATTTTGACACATTTTCATGTTATCAGCTTGTTCTGTAAACGGATTTTTGTAATCTTTAGACCTGAGGAGAAAATCAATACTCCAACCCGCACAGATACCTGCCGGCTGGTATGACAATTACCTAGCTGTGGACCACCTCGTCCAGCATCACATCCCCGCTCTTCAGCTTCACTTTTATTTATATCACTAGTTTTTCTGTCTTTTATTGTATACATATATCAAAAAGAAATAAATCTGAAATAGGATTCCGTCCGCTTCGTGCGTGCTTATCACACCTGCGGCCAACCCACCTGTCCACAGGTAACTGGAGTGCGACATCCTCAGCTCTCTCAGGCCATAAAATTAAGTCACACACTAATAGCATTACACATAAGTTAAATGCACGTATATAACATCATATTATTGTTCTGTAGGCCACTTATACATCTATTATTTGTTCGATTATTAAGTTTTTGATTGTAAACAACAATAAGCTGTATACGGGCAGCGTGCATTACATTATACCTCTTTATCAATAGAGATACAGCATACTATATTATCTTTACTAGATCGATCAAACTCAGTGACCAGGAGTTCACATTAAAAGTATTTGACACTGTTACATGATAGAAGTAACAATGTACGTGTTATATACTAGAAGTAACAATGTACGTGTTGTATACTAGAATAACAATGTACGTGTTGTGTACTAGAATAACAATGTACGTGTTATATACTAGAATAACAATGTACGCGTTATATAATAGAAGTAACATTGCACGTGTTGTGTACTAGAATAACAATGTTCGTGTTATATACTAGAATAACAATGTACGCGTTATATAATAGAAGTAACATTGCACGTGTTGTGTACTAGAAGTAACAATGTACTTGTTATATACTAGAAGTAACAATGTACGTGTTATATACTAGAAGTAACAATGTACTTGTTATATACTAGAAGTAACAATGTACGTGATGTATACTAGAATAACAATGTACGTGTTATATAATAGAAGTAACATTGTACGTGTTGTGTACTAGAATAACAATGTTCGTGTTATATACTAGAATAACAATGTACGTGTTATATAATAGAAGTTACAATGTACGTGTTGTGTACTAGAATAACAATGTACGTGTTATATAGTATAATAACAATGTACGTGTTATATACTAGAATAACAATGTACGTGTTGTATACTAGAATAACAATGTACGTTTTGTGTACTAGAAGTAACAATGTACGTGTTTTATACTAGAATAACAATGTACGTGTTATATAATAGAAGTTACAATGTACGTGTTGAGTACTAGAATAACAATGTACGTGTTATATACTACAAGTAACAATGTACGTGTTGTATACTAGAAGTAACAATGGACGTGTTATATACTAGAAGTAACAATGAACGTGTTGTATACTAGAAGTAACAATGTGCGTAGTATATACTAGAAGTAACAATGTACGTGTTGCATACTAGAAGTAACAATGAACGTGTTGTATACTAGAAGTAACAATGTACGTGTTTTATACTAGAAGTAACATTGTACGTGTTATATACTAGAAGTAACAATGAACGTGTTGTATACTAGAAGTAACAATGGACGTGTTATATACTAGAAGTAACAATGAACGTGTTGTATACTAGAAGTAACAATGTATGTGTTATATACTAGAAATAACAATGTACGTGTTATATAATAGAAGTAACATTGTACGTGTTATATTATAGAAGTAACATTGTACGTTTCTATACTAGAAGTAACAATGTACGTGTTGTGTACTAGAAGTAACAATGTACGTGTTATATACTAGAAGTAACATTGTACGCGTTATATACTAGAAGTAACAATGTACATGTTGTATACTTGAAGTAACAATGTACGTGTTATATACTAGAAGTAACAATGTACGTGTTATATACTAGAAGTAACAATGTACGTGTTATATACTAGAAGTAACAATGTACGTGTTGTATACTAGAAGTAGCAATGTACGTGTTATATACTAGAATTAACAATGTACGTGTTATATACTACAAGTAACATTGTACGTGTTGTATACTAGAGTAACAATGTACGTGTTATATACTAGAAGTAACAATGTACGTGTTGTATACTAGAAATAACAATGTACGTGTTATATACTAGAAGTAACAATGTACGTGTTGTATACTAGAAGTAACAATGTACGTGTTATATACTAGAAGTAACAATGTACGTGTTGTATACTAGAAGTAACAATGTACGTGTTATATACTAGAAATAACAATGTACGTGTTATATACTAGAAGTAACAATGTACGTGTTGTATACTAGAAGTAACAATGTACGTGTTATATACTAGAAGTAACAATGTACGTGTTGTATACTAGAAGTAACAATGTACGTGTTATATACTAGAAGTAACAATGTACGTGTTGTATACTAGAAGTAACAATGTACGTGTTATATACTAGAAGTAACAATGTACGTGTTGTATACTAGAAGTAACAATGTACGTGTTATATACTAGAAGTAACAATGTATGTGTTGTATACTAGAAATAACAATGTACGTGTTATATACTAGAAGTAACAATGTACGTGTTGTATACTAGAAGTAGCAATGTACGTGTTATATACTAGAATTAACAATGTACGTGTTATATACTACAAGTAACATTGTACGTGTTGTATACTAGAATAACAATGTACGTGTTATATACTAGAAGTAACAATGTACGTGTTGTATACTAGAAGTAACAATGTACGTGTTATATACTAGAAATAACAATGTACGTGTTATATACTAGAAGTAACAATGTACGTGTTGTATACTAGAAGTAACAATGTACGTGTTATATACTAGAAGTAACAATGTACGTGTTGTATACTAGAAGTAACAATGTACGTGTTATATACTAGAAGTAACAATGTACGTGTTGTATACTAGAAGTAACAATGTACGTGTTATATACTAGAAGTAACAATGTACGTGTTGTATACTAGAAGTAACAATGTACGTGTTATATACTAGAAATAACAATGTACGTGTTATATACTAGAAGTAACAATGTACGTGTTGTATACTAGAAGTAACAATGTACGTGTTATATACTAGAAGTAACAATGTACGTGTTGTATACTAGAAGTAACAATGTACGTGTTATATACTAGAAATAACAATGTACGTGTTATATACTAGAAGTAACAATGTACGTGTTGTATACTAGAAGTAGCAATGTACGTGTTATATACTAGAATTAACAATGTACGTGTTATATACTACAAGTAACATTGTACGTGTTGTATACTAGAATAACAATGTACGTGTTGTATACTAGAAGTAACAATGTACGTGTTGTATACTAGAAGTAACAATGTACGTGTTATATACTAGAAGTAACAATGTACGTGTTGTATACTAGAAGTAACAATGTATGTGTTATATACTAGAAATAACAATGTACGTGTTATATACTAGAAGTAACAATGTACGTGTTGTATACTAGAAGTAACAATGTACGTGTTATATACTAGAAGTAACAATGTACGTGTTGTATACTAGAAGTAACAATGTATGTGTTATATACTAGAAATAACAATGTACGTGTTATATACTAGAAGTAACAATGTACGTGTTGTATACTAGAAGTAACAATGTACGTGTTATATACTAGAAATAACAATGTACGTGTTATATACTAGAAGTAACAATGTACGTGTTGTATACTAGAAGTAACAATGTACGTGTTATATACTAGAAATAACAATGTACGTGTTATATACTAGAAGTAACAATATGCGTGTTGTATACTAGAATAACAATGTACGTGTTATATAGTAGAAGTAACAATGTACATGTTGTATACTGGAAATAACAATGTTCGTGTTATATACTAGAAGTAACAATGTACGTGTTGTGTACTAGAAGTAACAATGTACGTGTTGTGTACTAGAAGTAACAATGTACGTGTTATGTACTAGAAATAACAATGTACGTGTTATATACTAGAAGTAACATTGTACGTGTTGTATACTAGAATAACAATGTCCGTGTTGTATACTAGAAGTAACAATGTACGTGTTATATAGTAGAAGTAACAATGTACGTATTGTATACTTGAAGTAACAATGTACGTGTTATATACTAGAAGTAACATTGTACGTGTTATACACTAGAAGTAACAATGTACGTGTTATATACTAGAAGTATCAATGTACGTGTTGTATACTAGAAGTAGCATTGTACGTGTTATATAGTAGAAGTAACATTGTTCGTGTTATATAGTAGAAGTAACATTGTACGTGTTGTATACAAGAAGTAACATGGTTGATGTTGCATGGTAGTAACAAAATGAATACGCTGTTTATTTGAATTTTAATATTAATTAACGTGTTATTTGGAAGTTGATAGATACAATGATTATGGTGGAGCGTTGAAGTGATAGATTTCATGAGTATGTCGTGAAAAATATCGCTATATTTGATAAGTTTCTATTAATTTACATTCAGTGTCTAATCAGAATAATTGCATTCACCACCGCTGATTATCTCTTCAGATGCAGGAAGAATTCAAGGCTGTTTTGGAACATCTTTTGGTACTTGCACTAAGGCATTTACGTAACTACACTTTGAAGAACCTGTTAGACAATGACCGAAGATTCAATTGAGATATCGATATTTTGTCACACAAGTGATATATCCAGAGGTGGAATTTAAAAACATTTTATGTGATTTCATTCAACGAATAAAAAAATACTTTTTATAAGTTCTGTATCTATATTGTCACTACACTTTACACTACTATATATTACGGTATATATTGTCACTACACTTTAGACAGTTTGGTATATATTGTCACTACACTTTACACTGTATGTTATATATTGTCACTTCACTTTACACTGTACAATATATGTTGTCACTTCACTTTACACTATATGTTATATATTGTCACTACACTTTACACTGTACGGTATATATTGGCATTACACTTTACACTGTACGGTATATATTGTCATTGCACTTTACACTGTACGTTATATGTTGTCACTACACTTTACACTGTACGGTATATAGTGGCATTACACTTTACACTGTAAAATATATGTTGTCACTTCACTTTACACTGTATGTTATATATTGTCATTACACTTAACACTGTACAATATATATTGTCACTACTCTTTACACTGTTCGTTTTATGTTGTCACTACACTTTACACTGTTCGTTATATGTTCTCACTACACTTTACACTGTACAATATATATTGTCACTTCACTTTACACTGTTCGTTATATGTTGTCACTACACTTTACACTGTTCGTTATATGTTGTCACTTCACTTTACACTGTTCGTTATATGTTGTCACTACACTTTACACTGTTCGTTATATGTTGTCACTTCACTTTACACTGTTCGTTATATATTGTCACTACACTTTACACTGATCGTTATATATTGTCACTACTCTTTACACTGTACGGTATATATTGGCATTACACTTTACACTGTTCGTTTATATATTGTCATTACACTTTACACTGTTCGTTATATGTTGTCACTACACTTTACACTGTTCGTTATATGCTGTCACTACACTTTGCACTGTTCGTTATATGTTGTCACTACACTTTACACTGTACAATATATATTGTCACTACACTTTACACTGTTCGTTATATGTTGTCACTACACTTTACACTGTTCGTTTATATATTGTCACTACTCTTTGCACTGTTCGTTATATGTTGTCACTACACTTTACACTGTTCGTTATATATTGTCCCTACACTTTACACTGTTCGTTTATATATTGTTACTACTCCTTGCACTGTTCGTTATATGTTGTCATTACACCTTACACTGTTCGTTATATGTTGTCATTACTCTTTACACTGTTCGTTAGATGTTGTCACTGCACTTTACACTGTACAATATATATTCTCACTACTCTTTACACTGTTCGTTATATGCTGTCACTACACTTTGCACTGTACGGTATAAATTGTCACTACACTTTTCACTGTTCGTTTATATATTGTCATTACACTTTACACTGTAAAATATATGTTGTCACTTCACTTTTCACTGTACGGTATAAATTGTCACTACACTTTTCACTGTTCGTTTATATATTGTCATTACACTTTTCACTGTCCGTTATATATTGTCACTACCCTTTACACTGTACGGTATATATTGTAAATACTCTTTACACTGTTCGTTAGATGTTGTCACTGCACTTTACACTGTACGGTATAGATTGTCGTTACACTTTTCACTGTTCGTTACATATTGTCACTACACTTTACACTGGACAATATATATTGTCACTACACTTTGCACTGTTCGTTATATGTTGTCACTCCACTTTACACTGTACGGTATATATTGTAAATACTCTTTACACTGTTCGTTATATGTTTTCACTACACTTTACACTGTTCGCTATATGTTGTCACTACACTTTTCACTGTTCGTTATATGTTGTCACTTCACATTACACTGTACGGTATAAATTGTCACTACACTTTTCACTGTTCGTTACATATTGTCACTACACTTTACACTTTACGGTATATATTGTCATTACACTTTACACTGTTAGTTATATGTTGTCACTACACTTACTGTACGGTATATATTGGCATTACACTTTACACTGTACGGTATAGATTGTCGTTACACTTTTCACTGTTCGTTATATGTTGTCATTACACTTTACACTGTTCGTTATATGTTGTCACTTCACTTTACACTGTACGGTATAAATTGTCATTACACTTTTCACTGTTCGTTATATATTGTCACTACACTTTACACTGTACGGTATATATTGTCACTACTCTTTACACTGTTCGTTATATGTTGTCACTACACTTTACACTGTTCGTTATATGTTGTCACTACACTTTACACTGTTCGTTATATGTTGTCATTACACTTTACACTGTTCGTTATATATTGTCATTACACTTTACACTGTTCGTTATATATTGTCATTACACTTTACACTGTTCGTTATATATTGTCACTACACTTTTCACTGTACGGTATATATTGTCACTAAACTTTGCACTGTACAGTATATATTGTCACTAAACTTTACATCGTACAGTATATATTGTCACTACACTTTACACTTTGCAGTATATATGTATTATCACTTCGCTTTACACAGTACGGTACATAGTGTCACTTCACTCGACACTGTACTATAAAATATATCATTAGAACCCGTAACACTAGACTATAGTCTAATTGTGTCCACTCTCGCTGGTATTGATTTTGATGTTTGTGCTTTTTTCTTGTGATTAATATTTTAATCCCATTGTCATATAAATTTGACCACAGCCAGGTGGTTTTAACCTCGTTTTATCTTTGGTGTTATGATAGTGCTGAAAATTCACACAGTGCGACTATGCAAAGTTACACAAGGTAAAAAATACAAATAAAGTACACGTATCATGTGATAAAATAGATAAGTACACGTTCTTTGCAGTACAATTCATATGTATACGTATTGTGTAATATAATAAATAAGTACATATGCTGTGTAATACAATTCATAAGTCCAACTGCTGTGTAATACAATTCATAAGTACACGTCATGTGTAGTACAATTCATAAGTATATGTGCTGTGTAGTACAATTCATAAGTATATGTGCTGTGTAGTACAATTCATAAGTATATGTGCTGTGTAGTACAATTCATAAGTACACGTGCAGTGTAGTACAATTCATAAGTACAAGTGCTGTGTAGTACAATTCATAAGTACACGTCATGTGTAGTACAATTCATAAGTACACGTACTGTGTAGTATAATTCATAAATACACGTGATGTGTTGTCCATTCTTAAGTACACGTCCTATCGTACACGTGCTCTGTCATATACTACATATGTATACGTGCTCTGTCATATTATACATAAGCACATGTGCACTGTCATATAAAACATAAGTACACGTGCCCTGTCATATAATACATAGGTATACGTGCTCTGTCATATAATACATAGGTGTACGTTGTCATATTATACATAGGTATACGTTGTCATATAATACAGAAGCACATGTGCACTGTCATATAAAACATAAGTACACGTGTCTTGTCATATGCACTGTAATGCATTAGTATTCGTAATGTCATAGATACATACACAAGTCATGTAATAATGTGTCGTACAATAAATTGGCACACGTGTTGTGTCATACAATACTTTGCATGCGCGATGTTAAACAATACATAAGCACACGATCTGTCTTACAATTCTTAGGAACACGCGCTGTGTTATAAAATGCACAAGTACACGTGATGTGTCATACAATAATAATTTACCATATACTTGAGAATATAATCTTAGTAAATGTACGTGCCGTTTCATATTATTCATAGGTACACGCGCAGGAGTAGCGATCGGAGGAAATGACCACAACATTTAACCTCTTTTACACTGGACAGTAGTACCAACCTGACCATTGTTGGCGATTTCATTTCTGTAATATGTGAATTCTGCACGTGTAGTGATAACTTGACCATCTGTCCAAATAAAGAAAAATGACCACATCCCATCGTCAGGTACACATTGACCATATGGAGGTATAGCGCCATGAAAATTAAAAGGGTTCACGTATTGAACAATAGCCCTTGTCTCTGCCCTATTATTGTTTTTATTAATTAATTAGCTATTGTTTTAACATGACGTTTAATGTCAATCTTTTATCGTTTTGTTTATTTCCCCGTTTCCTGTGACCTAGCTGTTCTTGGTTGAAGAATGACTTGTCCGTTGTTCTTTTTTGCGACCTCCTTATCAGTGCTTCGCCTATCTATGGATAATCTGTATTCGCGCCAGCATTGTGACATTTAATATTTCAATGTAATTTTCCTTAACTGTTTTTATGATACACCCGTAATCGTGCTCTAGTATTGACGTATACACAAAGCGCCCTCATTAATGCCATTCAATTAATTTACCAATTATTTGCATGATGAATTTAGCGTCACTATCATTCTCAAAGACCCCGGTTAATTTTATTTGAGCGCCCTCCTCCTCCCCGATCGCCCCCTGTCCACGGCCCCTACCTCCCCCCGGCCGCCCCCTGTCCGCGGCCCCACTGCCCATCACTGCAGTACAGCCGTGGACGCAGACTGGACAGAGCCACTACACTCTGGCTACATATTGATTTTTTCCATTGATTTAATTTAACCTTATTCTGATTTTCTTGCTGGCCTTAAATTATATTTCAGTTTTATTACTGATTATCGGCCGTTATGTCCGGTTTCTATGGCTACTGATATGAGTAATGTCATTTCCACATGAAATTTAGTAAACACCAGAGTTGAGTATTTTGAATATTTGATTTAAGGATGCCGGGTCGTGTACATTTCGTGAGAATGTATTGATTTTTTTTCTACAAAAATGACTATGGTCAATTACTGCTTGCCGTCCGTCTGTTTTTCTATATCCTTATGTTTTTAAGGATGTTGAAATCGGCACGATTTGTGCGAGGCCAAAGTTGTGTCCAATATACGTAGGTTTGTATGCCTATGCATTAAAGAAGCCGGGCACGTGCCGCCAATCGATGGCCGGCTCTTGTGATTATTTAATCGTCTACAAACACAAATTTAAACATTAAATCTGGCTCACTGCGCTTGTAATATAACC